TGAGAGGGACCCTGGATTAGAGCAGTGGAGGATCCCCAAATCTCCCCGCCCTCCACCCTTATGTCAAGATCTCAGAAGGGTAGGACCATCCATTACTTCTCACCCTTCCCAGTTGTCACAGTGCTTGACACTCAGTTGGTGCTAAGGACATTTTGTCAAATGAATGGCTTTCTCAGCATGTGGTCCAATCACCACTCAATCAGAATTCCCCAAATGTGAAGCAAAGGGATCTGCACTTAGCCAGTTCTCCAGGTGAGGCACCCTAATGAGACACTGGGAATGAATTGGTGAGTGAGCTGCAGGTAGCAGTGCCACAGACAGGAGGAGGGAACTCAAGCATGGCATGGGTCTTGGAATTCTCCATCTGCCTCTGATGCCCACTGGCGCTGCTCCTTCTCTGGACACATGCCAGCTCTTGGATTGACTATTGTGCTTGCCTGTTTCTTCTTCATGCGCCCCTCACCATCACCATAGGCCTTCCCAGTTGAACCCTTTCTGCCACGCCCCTCTGGAGATGCTGTACTTAGGGACACTTTCCCCAAACTGGCCCATACTTTTTCTCCCCAGTAAAAAGATCTCACTGTTCTTCTGGGCTCCTTCCCCAGGCAAGTTGCTCCCTGAGCTGCTCCAACCTTACACAGAACGCGTGGAACATCTGAGTGAGTTCCTGGTGGATGTCAAGCCCTCCTTGACTTTTGATGTCATTCCCCTGCTGGACCCCTATGGGCCTGCTGGCTCTGACCCCTCCCTGGAGTTCCTGGTGGTCAGCGAGGAGACGTATCGTGGGGGGATGGCCGTCAACCGCTTCCGCCTGGAGAATGTAACCCCTGAGGGAGACTGGCAGAAGGAGTGGATGGGGGGCGGGGAAGGACATTTTTTGGGGCTGTGGGGGCTAGCTGAGAGAAGTAGGGGCTCAGGATGGTGGGAAGAAGCAAGGAGGAACTGCTTCTCAGCTTGCCTGCTAGGGTGGAGGAGGAGCCTGGGTAGGAAGGGGAGGATAAGGGGGCAGGTTGGGTGTCAGGGTCTTCCTCTCACTCCCTCCTTCCCTCTTTTCGCCCTTTCCTCTTTACCCCAGGACCTGGAGGAGCTTGCCTTGTACCAGATCCAGCTGCTGAAGGACCTAGGACATATGGAGAATGAAGAGGACAAAGTCAGCTCCTCCAGCTTCCGTCAGCGAATGCTGGGAAACCTGCTTCAGCCTCCATATGTAAGCTCCTCTTTCTCCTTCCCACCTGCCCTCCATCCCTCCTGCTTGGATGTGCTGGAAATGCTGGACGGTAGAAGCTTAGGGGCTCAACCCCCGGCATGAGGCTGAGGGCCCCAGTAACTGTGGGTTCACTTTAACCTACCCCCAGGAGAGGCCAGATCTCCCCCGGAGTCTCTATGTGATTGGGCTGACTGGCATCAGTGGCTCTGGGAAAAGCTCAATAGCTCAGCGGCTGAAAGGCCTGGGGGCGTTTATCATTGACAGTGACCACCTGGGTCATCGGGCCTATGCCCCAGGTGGCCCTGCCTACCAGCCCGTGGTGGAGGCCTTTGGAACAGGTAATAACTGGGGGAAGCTGGGCGTGGCCTGGAATGAGGAGCTGGCCAGGCCTCTGTGTTCAGCTCTCTCACTCTTTTGTCCAGATATTCTCCATAAAGATGGCACCATCAACAGGAAGGTCCTAGGTAGCCGGGTGTTTGGGAACAAGGTAAATGACAGCTGCCTAAGGGTTCCTAAGCCGCGACTAAACCCAGGGGTCAGAGTCCTGTGGACCTCTGTGGTCTGGCCCAGAATGCCGATTCCACTGACCTGTTCCCAACACCACGTTGCTTGTGGGCTGGCTCCTTCTAGAGAAGGTAACCTCTGCCCACGCCCTCTGTGCCCCTCCCCAGAAGCAGCTGAAGATCCTCACGGACATTATGTGGCCAATTATCGCAAAGCTGGCTCGAGAGGAGATGGATCGGGCTGTGACTGAGGGTGAGTGGGAGGGAGGATGGAAACAGCCAAGGGGACAGTTAAGCTGATTCTTCCTCACGGACAGCTTCCCTGCCCCAGGTGGGACCATCTGCTCTCCCTGGGACTGTGTTTTGTGGGCGCTCTGCCTGGGAGAGCATCAGTGCTGTTGGCGGTGACTGGGGTCTCCCCACAGGAAAGCATGTGTGTGTGATTGATGCTGCTATGCTGCTTGAAGCCGGCTGGCAGAACCTGGTCCATGAGGTGTGGACTGTTGTCATCCCTGAGACTGAGGTATCTTGGCCGCACCCCCCACGCCATCTCTACTGCAGACTCTATCCTGCCGAGCCGGAATTCTTCCTGACAAATGCCTCGTCTGTACCCAGGCCGTAAGACGCATTGTGGAGAGGGATGGCCTGAGTGATGCCGCGGCTCAAAGCCGGCTGCAGAGCCAGATGAGCGGGCAGCAGCTTGTGGAACAGAGCCACGTGGTGCTCAGCACCTTGTGGGAGCCGCATATCACCCAGCGTCAGGTTGGTGCCCAGGGCAAGGCTGGGCTATGGGGAAGGAGTCTCTAGTGAGTGCTGCCTGACCCCACCCTCTCTTCCTTCCAACATCCTGGCCTGTCTGAAGGTGGAGAAAGCCTGGGCCCTTCTGCAGAAGCGCCTTCCCAAGACTCATCAAGCCCTCAACTGAAAAGGGGTTCTCAATGGGGCCAGATTGGCCCCTGGAGCTGACAAGCGACTGGGCGGTGAGGAGAAATGGGGGCCTTGATGCTCACCCTGGTTCATGCCCAGAGGTCAAAGCTATGCTGTGTGGGACATGGCCAAGCCTGGTGGACACAGGAGGCCTACACAGCACACTGGTATCTGGCCAACATTGAGGATGTGGTTTGTGGGGGAAGCAGGCCCCTCCCCACTCTTGCCTATGGGTGTCTGTGATACCCACAGCTGACTAGGGTTGGGGCAAGTACTGGAACCTGTAACAGAAATAAAGTGTATGTTCCCAGGTGTTGCCTGTATGGTATCTGCTTCCTGCTTCATTACCTGTAAGTATCTTTGGGATCCCTAAGCCACAAGTGCAGGGCGCAGGCCTGTGCTGGAAGCCTAGGAGTGCAGTGATTAAGAGGATGGCCTATGAAGTGAGCCAAAGGTGAGCCTTGGCCCTCCCACTGAACAGGTGTGTGCTTTTGAGTAAGTTGTAGACTTCTAGGTACTGCCGTTTTTGTTTTGTTTTGTTTTTAATCTGAGAGGCCGCATAACCTAGCTAGCGGGCTCTTTGCAGGGATTCATTCCACACGGGTCTTGCCAGACACTGGGCTGGGTGTTGGAAGATGAGCATTCGACGCGCCAGGCGGGGACTCTGTCCTCACAGAGCTTGCAGCCAGTGGGGTCGGACGATGTGGCTGGGTGGGGCGTCTCTCTGCCCGACTCCTGACACATGGGCCAGCACTGCAGGTCCGGGGCGCGGGGACGTCGCCCGCAGGTAACGTGGGGCGTGACAGTGCGCAGCTGGATCTGGTACAATCTGTGGTGGTGTGCAGACAAGCCAACTGAGGGGACTCCATCTTACAGAACGCGCCTCGTGTCGCCGCCAGTCCAGTGCATAACCCAGGAAGGGCAGGCACGTCGGGGAAGAATCCCGAAGGTGGCCGGCTCCAGTCCAAGCGCTGGGCTTTGACGCCTGGAGCCGGGGAGTAAAGTATTTGGACCGCGCATGCGCGATGCTCTTGCCCTGTCCCGCCTCTCGATCGCGGATTGGTGAGCGCGGGTCACGTGGGCGCACCTCCCGATTCCTCGCCGCCGGAGGCTGGCCCATTGGCTCATTTCCGGTCCGGTGGGTCCAAGATGACGGAGTCGGGCGCCTCTCCGGAGGACCCCTGGGTCAAGGCAAGCCTCGTGGGCGCGCACGCTGGAGAGGGTAGGGTGGGTCGGGCTCGTGCACGTAAGGGGGCCGGAAGACGACGGGCCTCCCTCCTGTCCCCAAAGTCACCTATGCTCTCTCTGCCTCGGGGTTGCAGAGAAGTCAACTCTCACCCCGCGTGTGCCAAGGTGGGGAAACAAACGAGGCGTGTGCGCGCGAGTGGGGAGAACGGGGGGCTGGGGTGAAGTCAGGGCAAAAGGGATCATACGGAGGGGCGGCGCTTGCAGGGCCTAGCCCGTGCCAGTCTCGGGGGAATCATTAAGCTGCCCGGGCACCCTGCAGAGAGAGAGGCACCTCCCCCCAGGGGCGGAGGTCTGATGGGCTTCTCCTGTGCTCTGTGCCGCAGGTGGAATATGCCTACAGCGACAACAGCCTGGACCCCGGTGAGTAGCTACCCAATCTTAAGCTCTAGAGGGTCACTCGCGCCCCGGCTTTCTCGATTCTTGTGACGTTGTCAGCCACGCCTGAGCACAGTCCACTGTCCCGGAGCAGAGTTCCTGGCTTGAGACAGCAGGAGCTGAAGGACAGGGACAGAAAACAACCGAGGGTGACATCTAGTTCCCTCTGCTGTGGAACAGGGAAGTAGTGGAACTAGTGGTAGCTGATCACTCACAGCCTCATCACGTCCAGATAGATGCCCGTTTGTGAGCCAGGGGGTATCATGTAGGTCTATGGAGCAGTGTAGACACTAGGGACCAGAGCATTGCAGCGTGGTCTGGCAGAAAGTAGGGGGCCCAGTATGGTTGGCTTTGGGTTGAAGGGAAGAGGTCAGCATTTAAGAAAGCCATCGTGTCCCACAGGTGTCTGAGGTTCTGGCAGTGTTGCCCGCCCCACCCCTTAGTGATTGGGCCTCTCTTTTTCAGGGCTTTTTGTAGAAAGCACCCGCAAGGGGAGTGTAGTGTCCAGAGCTAATAGCATTGGTTCCACCAGCGCCTCTTCTGTCCCCAACACAGGTAGGCAGCAATATCCTCCCCACCTGGGGGGGCTCAGATATGCCATAATTGCAGTACCTTTCCTAGGCAGGGAAGCGCCAGCCATCCACACGGGGGTGGTGGAGCCAAAGGATCAGACACAGGATCTCACCATCTTTCACTTCATCTAGAACATTCGGTTCTTCTCTCCATATTGCCATCTCTGGCACCAGGTTCTTCCCAGCTGGGGAAAGGTGGGCTAGCTGGTCCCCACTGGGCCCCAAGATGACCTCTCCCTGCCCCCACCTCTGAGCATAGATGACGAGGACAGTGATTACCACCAGGAGGCCTACAAGGAGTCCTACAAAGACCGGCGGCGGCGCGCACACACTCAGGCTGAGCAGAAGAGGAGGGACGCCATCAAGGTGACCAGGGGAGGCCTATGCCTCAGCCAGTGTAGGAGGGCCCTGCACAGTTCAGCTTCCCTGTGCCCTGACCCTCTCAGACAGTCCCAGGCACCCTTGGGGGCAGCTAATCTAGTCCCAGGCACAGAGACTCCTGTTGAGTTTGTGAGCATAGAACTTGGTGTCATGGAAGAAATTTGTGCCAGTTTGCCTTAGTCTCTCAGGGTTAAGGAAACCATTTCCCCTGCTGTCTCCACAGAGAGGCTATGATGACCTTCAGACCATCGTCCCCACTTGCCAGCAGCAGGACTTCTCCATTGGCTCCCAAAAGCTCAGCAAAGCCATCGTTCTGCAAAAGAGTATGGCAAGGGAAAGCCCTGGAGGGGTTGGAGCCAAGAGGGGCTGTGAAGAGGCCAGCGCCTCCTACCCTCCCATGTCCTGGCCCTGGTGTGGTGGTTGCCAAGGGATAGTTGGGGTCTGGGGAAGCGGAACAAAGTCAGCCTTGTCTTCCTGGTTGAGATTACTTCTGTGTCTCCCCTCTTTTCCTGCCCCCACCCTAGCCATTGACTACATTCAGTTTTTGCACAAGGAGAAGAAAAAGCAGGAGGAGGAGGTGTCCACATTACGCAAGGATGTCACGGCCCTAAAGATCATGAAAGTGTAAGGGGCGCTGAATGGGGGGAACCAGAGCTTCTGAGGCAACTTCATTGCACATCTTCCCTTGTTGAAAGGCCACATTGGTTACTACCGTACAGATGCTACCCTCAGTTCCTGAGCTAGCCAGTAGAAGGACTGTGTATTCCCAACTGTCCTTACGCATGGCAGACACTCAGGAAATGCCTGTTGGATTAATGAAGGGAAGGTTGGAGAAAGGGTCACCATTCCTGGCCTAGAAGCAGGTATCTCCCTGATATTGAACCCCACCCAGTTCATCTCTGGGGATGCCACTCCTCGGAGTACACAGGATAGCCCCATCATTCTTGGGTGGGCGGAGCCACTGCAGCACCCCAGCCCTGGCCTGCATGCTTTCAGGAACTATGAGCAGATTGTGAAGGCACACCAGGACAACCCCCATGAAGGGGAAGACCAGGTCTCTGACCAGGTCAAGTTCAACGTGTTTCAAGGCATCATGGACTCCTTGTTCCAGTCCTTCAATGCCTCCATCTCGGTGACCAGCTTCCAGGAGCTGTCGGCCTGTGTCTTCAGCTGGATTGAGGAGCACTGTAAGCCTCAGGTAAGGGATCAATGGGCCTGCAGTTTTCTCCACTGTCAGGCAAGGTGGCCCAAGCCATCAGTGTTGAGAAAGGCAGCTGCTCCAAGATTTCTCAAGAGTATTTCTACAACGTTCGGGACTCTCGTATTTTCCCTTTTCTTTACTAACCTACATCTTCATGTTACAGTTTCATTTGGCAAGTGTGATGTGAGCTCAGTGTCAAGTCCAGCTCTTGGCTTTTGTCTAGCCCATGTTGTGGCTGCCCTGTATGGAAGCCCCGGGCAGCTGCAGAATTGGAAACATGAAAATTCTGGGACCCTACTTCCAGGTCCACTAAAGTCATTGCCCAAGAGCTTTTTATTACTTAAAATGGGGAAATATGCTAATAGTATTGCACTAAGTTTTCTAATTGAAGTCTGATTGCTTTTTCTGAGGCTTTAAACTTGTGTCTGAGATTCTTTCTTGTTCCTTTCCCAACATTTTTTATTGTGAAACGTTAAATTTATTGTGATGTTGAGAGGATTTTACAGTGACCACTTGTATACCCCCTACCTAAATTTTACTGAAAACATTTTGTTCTTTTTTTTTTTTTTTTGAGACAGAGTCTTGCTCTGTTGCCCAGGCTGGAGTGCAATAGTGTGATCTCTGCTCACTGCAACCTCCGCCTCCCGGGTTCAAGCAATTCTCCTGCCTCAGATTCCCAAGTAGCTAGAATTACAGGTGCCTGCCACCACGTGACTAATTTTTATGTTTTTAGTAGAGACAGGGTGGCCACCATACTGGCCAGGCTGGTCTCAAACTCATGACCTCAGGAGATCCACCCACCTTGGCCTCTCAAAATGTTGGGGTTACAGGCGTAAGCCACCGTGTCCGGTCTGTATTTCCATCTCTCCATTCTATTTCAGGAACACCTCAAAGTAAACTGTAGACATCAGTACTTCTTGGGGGGAATTTTGTTTTGTTTTGTTTTTAGATAGTCACTGTCACCTAAGCTGGAATGCAGTGGTGTCATCTCAGCTCACTGCAACCTCTGCCTCCCAGTTTCAGGCGATTCTTATACCTCAGCCTCCTGAGTAGCTGGGACTACAAGTATGCACCACTACATCCAGCTAATTTTTGTATTTTTAGCAGAGACAGGGTTTTACCATCTTGGCCAGGCTGGTCTTAAACCTCAGGTGATCTGCCAACCTTGGCCTCCTGAAGTGCTGGGATTACAGGTATAAGCCACTGCACCTGACCCCTGGGGGGGCTTTCTTTCTTTTTTTTTTTTTTAAGACAATCTCACTCTGTTGCCAGGGCTGGTGTGCAGGGGTGAGATCTCAGCTCTCTGCAATCTCCGCCTTCCGTATTCAAGCGATTCTCCTGCCTCAGCCTCCCAGGTAGCTGGAATTGTGGTCATGTGTCACCATGCCCGGCTAATTTTGTATTTTTAGTAGCCACAGGGTTTCTCCATGTTGGTCAGGCTGGTCTCAAACTCCCGACCTTAGGTGATTCACCTGCCTCGGCCTCCCAAAGTGCTGGGATTACAGGCATGAGCCACTGTGCCCAGCCCCTGGGGGGCTATTTTTAACACACTTTATTCTAAAGTACATGGCTGATCTAGGCAGGCATCTTTGAAACGACTCTGTGCCCTGACATGAGCATTGTCTATTTCTTCCTCTGCTGCCCTCACCAGACCCTGCGGGAGATTGTGATTGGCGTCCTGCACCAATTGAAAAACCAGCTTTACTGACCGGTTCTTGGAAACCTGCAGAACAGCCAAGAGGCCTGTGAATCTCTACTTGGCCACTTAACTGCTGGGCCCATGAGATTGGACTACAGCACCTTACACTGGTCAGCTGGTTTCTACTTGGTGTTTGGTTTTTCCCATCCCCATTTTATCTTCAGCAGAGCTGGGGTGTTTGTTTTGTGAAAGTTTCTGATTAATTTATTATATTGACGATAAAACTCAAACCTACCCAGCCTTCCCCCGCATCCCCCACTCCTGCCCATGGAAGTCCTTGGTGGGCATCTACTCTGGACACCCCAAAGAGCTCCTGCCTTCTCAGCCCTTTTTTCAAGCCTCAGATTTCTGCCCATGATCTACATAGATTTGGAAACTGTTTGCCTCTGTTTTGGTCTCTTGGGCAACATTTGGCTCAAGTTTGGGCATTTTGGCAGTAGCTGGATGGGAGAAAAAGAGGAAGAAGAAATATCCCACAGCTGTGGGGGTAAAAGGCCACCTTGTGCCTACACTGGGGCTGCCTGGTGACTCCCAGGTGAGGCTAAGGGCTTTCTGGCTATCTCGGGGCAGGGCCACCAGGTGCCTCCCCTAGGCTCTATATTCCATCACCTTCCTCCTCTGCTCTGGGTGGTAAAGGAGGCCCTTCTGGTTCCCACAGGCTGTAGTACTGCATGACAGACGCAGGTATATCACATACAAAAATATTTGAAATTTATTTTTCTAAAACCAATGCAGTTTTGATATAGTTACAATTTTGAAATATTAACTGGGGCTCAAAACCACCACCCAGCCTTTCTGTCAAGCCTATCTACGCCCCTCCCATGTCTCAGTGTTGCCTGCATTTCTCCCAGGACTTAGGGGTGGAGTGAAAGGGTACAGAACGTACGTGAAAGGTCTCCTGGGGTACACAAGTCCACCAGAGTCCTGAGTGAGGCTTTGGGCCCTCCAAATTCTGGTTTATAGCAACCTCGCTCTACCCTAATTCTCCAGGTTCACTTCTGCCTTCCTCAGGTTTGGTATCTGGCAGGTTTGACTACCCAGAGGAAATTAATTATTTTTATATCAAATGAAATTACAATAAATATTGCCAAATGCTTTCTTTCAGCATTGTTCCATGTGTAAGTGTTAAGCTCAAGCTACTGCAATGTAGACAATGAAATGGGCTGGGTCCACCCCCAGCCATCAGCCCTCATCCTCCACCCACTGCTCTGGTTTATGCCCGTCTCCTGACTGCTCTGCTCAAAGGTGAAAAGCAGCAGGAACAACAACAAAAGTCAACCGAAACAAGGCAGCCAGTCCAGGACATCTCACTCTTCAACATCCTGCAGTCCCCACCACGGGCCCCTCAGGGGTCTGGGAGTGTGACGTTGCAATCTTCATCTGTCTCTATCCCAACTTCCTCCTGTGGGACAGGGAGACAAGTCAACGAGCTGTCACCAGGAGAAGACCCCAGGGAAGCAAAGAAGGGAGAGAGTACCACTTACAAAGAACTGCTTCTTGCTCTTGGGGTATCCTTCAAGGATTGCATCAGACAGCTCTGTAGCCTGACGAGAAATAAAACCACGCCTTTTAAGATGGGCAGCATTGAACACTGGCTGTCAGACAGTTTATGATATTGTGTAGCAGTTGATCTGGTACCTGCCATTTTCAAAAGCACTTCTAGGGCCTGTCTCAGAGCTCCCACACACTTACCATCCTCTTCCTCTTCCTCCACTCCTTATAGTACTTCTGTCTCTCTCTGTATACCTAGAAAGAGAAAGCAAATTCCTCTAACTCCTCAGAACCACAGCAGCCCTCATGCTCACTCTGGACCTGCACAGTGGCCCTGCAGCCTTCTAGCTCACCTGCTCTTTCTCTTCTGGAGTCACATGATTAGTAGCTGCTTTAATGTTCTTCAGTCTCTCTCTGTAGCCAGCGCATTCCTTCTTTAACTCCTCGATTTCTTTCCGCATCTCCGGTGTGGTCAAGGCACTAGATAATTCCTTGAGCTCTGAAACCACATCCCCCTGGGGTCACTTGCTACCCCTGAGGAAGGAGTTTGTCTTTCCCAGTAGGTGCTCCCTGAGGTAGGAGACAGGCTTCCACCTTGCTCTGCATCTATCCAGAGTAGTCTCACATTATGGAAATGCTCAGGAAACTAAGCCTTACAGGATTATCAGTTTAGTCTTCTAATTTTCTTTCCTCCTCCATCTATTAGTGGTAGCATGGGTGTGAGGCTGAACACTTAAGTCTAGCCAGTTAAACAGGAAGAAAGGGAAATGTGAGGACAATGTACTGATAAGCGTGGCAGGGACAGCAAATGTGTATCCTGTCCATTCACTGGTACACAGAAGCTATTAGTTATCCTACATTTCTTTTAACACCTAAGGGAGCCCAGCCAAGGGTCTTAGCTGCAACAAGATGCTGCAGTCAGTGACCCATTCATTTAGTAATTCCTGACCTCTAGAGTGAACCTGAGCCTATGGGCACTTTTGAGGGGCTACCCAGTCCTACCAGCCTCCATGTAGCGGCAGCTCTGCTGCAAGCTCTGCACCTTAGCAGTGAGGGCCACGATTTTGGCATCTAGGCCTTGAAGGTCTGCATCACTCACCATGTCAAACTGGTCCTGCCAGACAAGAGGGAAAATACAACCAAACTGTTGTAAGCCACAGAGATGGGAACACATACCTGGGAAGGCAGCATTTAGATACACTTGAGAACCAGCCACGCCCCAGGCTTTCCAGAGGGTCTGCAGAAATAGTGGGAGGGTGATTTTGAGAAATTTTTAGTTGAGGAGCTATCCCACTAGAAAGGTAGAAGAGAAAGGTTGAAATTGAATGCCTGTCCTTAAGCAGCTACCAGGTTGACAGGCTACTGAATAGAACAGAAATCTTCCCATTTAGTGATAAAACCACTACCTGGGCTGAAGGAGTTAAGTAACATTGTTCTCAAGGTGGGGAAACCTAGAACATAGGTTTCCACAATAGGCAGAAACTGGACAGGTGAAGAGGCATGATAGATGGATTTTTCTTTTCTCCCTCCTTCCTTCCATCTCCCTCCATCCCTTCCCTCTTTTTCTCTCTTTTCTTTATCCCGTTCTCACCCCGGCCAAAGTGCAGTGCTGCGATCTCTGCTCACTGCAACCTCCACCTCCCGGCTTCAAGCAATTCTCATGCCTCAGCCTCCTGAGCAGCTGGGATTATAGGCGCGCGCCACCAAGCACAGCTAAATTTTGTATTTTTAGTAGAGACGAGGTTTCACCATGTTGCCCAGGCTGATCTCAAACTCCTGGGCTCAAGCCATCCATCTACCTCGGCCTCCCAAAGTGCTGGGATTACACTCTGTGCGTCAGTCACTATGCTGGGCCTTGGGATCCATTTAGATAAGGGATTCCGGTAAGTTTGAGGAGCTCCTCTCATGAGGGGCCACTGCTAGAAAAGAGAACTGCATTGGGGATCAGTATGGGGTGGGGGGGGGTTGGGAGGGTATCATCAGTTGGTGATAGGAAGCAGTTTGAAAAAGTATGCCAGCTAGTGCAGTCTGGACTCTACACCTGGGCAAGGTGAACCTACAGAGCAGAGTCCAGCTAACTACAGCCAGCAAGCCAAATCCTACCAGATGCATTTTTATTTTTTTAAGAGATGGGGTTTCACCGTGTTGGCCAGGCTCGTCTTGAACTCCTGACCTCGTGATCCACCCATCTCGGCCTCCCAAAGTGCTGGGATTACAGGCGAGCCACCGTGCCCAGCCAGATGCATGTTTTTGAAAACAAAATTTTATTGAAACAGCTCCACCCATTCATTTACCTAGTCTACAGCTGCTTCTGCTCTACAGTGGCAGTTGTACAGCCAGCCATGATAAAGGACCATATGGCTCACAAATCCTAAAAATAGTCTGGCCATTTACAGAAAGTTTGCCAAACCCTCCTTTAGAGAATTTTCTTTAGATAAGTAACACAATGAAGCCTTTTAGGAAAGTTAGCCTTGAAGGTGGTTTGGTTCAGTTTAACGAGTGTCTAAATCTACTGGATGTTAGAAAATGTGGAGGCATTGCCCAGATAAAAATGAATTGAGAAATGGTGTTTGCCCTAGAGGAACTTCAGTTGAATAAAGGAGACAAGTAAAAATAATTGTAATACAGCATGCCTCAAAAGAGGCAAGGGCCTGAAAAAGAAACGATTCGCTCAGAGCATTCAAGGATTTCTGGAGAAGGTGATGCCTAAGTGAAATCCTAAAGGAAAGTAAGAGTTGGTCAGGCAGAGAAGCAGGTACAGGGAGGACAACATCCAAAAGACAGAGCAGTAAAACACATCAGAATTACCCAGTGTTGATGGATAGAAAAATGATTGGTGAGGCCAGAGGCTGGCTAGGGCACCTTCCCATGTCTTTTACATGTTCTATGCAGCAGTGGAGAGTTGTTGAAGAGTTTTAAATAGGGAAGGTGCATGACCGGATCTATTTAGACATATCATTTTGACTGCAGTATTGAAGATATGTTTGAAGAGACAAGATCTGTTAAGAGGATATTGCAATAGATGAAGAGGGTGTGAACTGGAGCAGCCATGACAGATGGAAAAGAGTGGATTCAAGAATGGAAAAATTAGCCAGGCTCCATGGCTCACACCTGTCATCTCGGCACTTTGGATCACCTGAGCCCAGGAGTTCCAAGACCAACCTCTATAAAAAATCACAACTGTAATCCTGGCGAGGCCGAGGCAGGTGGATCACGAGGTCAGGTGTTCAAGACCAGCCTGACCAACATGGTGAAACTCCGTCTCTACTAAAAATACAAAAATTAGCTGGGCATAGTGGTGGAGGAACATCATTTGGCAATTTGGCAGAGGGTATTGCTAATCTAGATAAGGAATAAGCTTTAGGGTGCAGAAATGGATCTTGGTAGCAACAATACAGGATCGTCTCTCATCTATCTGTATTCCAGCTACTCGGGCAGCTGAGGCAGGAGAATCACTTGAAACTGGGAGGCAGAGGTTGCAGTGAGCCCAGACTGTGCCACTGTACTCCAGCCTGGTGACACAGCGAGACTCCATCTCCAAAAAACAAACAAACCCACATACACACTGAAAAATCAGCCGGACTTGATGGCTGACTAGACGTGAGTAAAGGAAGTAAAGAATTGCTCCCAAGTTTCTGGTTTGGGTGAAGAGTGATTCCATTAGGAGAGAAGAATGTTAGAAGCCAGTCTGGGGTGCTGGGAAGATGGGGCATTCTACTGTGGCAATTCTGACTGATATTAATGCCTGACAAATTCCAGCTAGAGGTCGAGGCTGGAGAATATAAATTTGATGTGTGTATTTAGAGAAGCGAATGGAGGCAGGAGGAACCTCATTTGGCAATTTGGCAGAGGGTGTTGCTAATCTAGATGATAAGCAATAAGCTTTGGGGCGGAAATGGATCTTGGCAGTAACAATACAGGATCTTCTGTCACTTATCATATCGTAAATCTGGAAACTTCATGAAGTTTGGATCCTAATGGGTACACACCTTGATTTAAGGATATCCGAGGCCCTTTTAGTGGCCTAAGACAGGTGAGTTTTCCACAGAGGGCCTCTCCCCAAAAGAGCTGACCCTAGAAGTAGATTCACTCGTCGGGCTCTTTCGGGTGATAATCGGCGCAAGTTCTCCTCACCTGATCCGCAAAATAGATCTTCTGCTTGCCGTACATCTTCTCTTTGATCTTGCCTTGTTGCGCCAGCTGCTCCAGCGTCTTCACCACCACCTGGCAGAGGGGAGGGGCAATCAGGAGTCTGGGCCCGAGTCCGGGGAAATTCAGCCAGTGATGGGGAAAGCGCCCAAGGCTCCAGAGGGCACGACCCCAGGCTGATTCCAGGGAGTCCGACGGAGAGGGAATCCTGGGAGAGGTTCCTCACCGCCTTGCCCAGTCCGTGTTCCCGCTGCAGGTTCCCGAACACATCCTGAGCGCTATAGGGCCGGTTCTGCTCCCGCAGGTACCTCAGGAGGATCCCGGCGGCTACGGAGAGAGGGACAGGGGAGGGGGCCACTCAACCGACCTCCTCACCCACTGCCCTCCCGGGTCTTCCCCGCGCCCATGCCGCCGTTACCTCCCGCCGCAGCTTCTGCCCGCCCTTTACTCATCGCCTTTCCTGCCACCCAACTCAGAAAGCCGGACGTTGTAGTTGCTCGGGGCGACGGCTCCTTCCGGCGATGGGGGCGGGCCTCGAGCAGTGATTGGCTGAAGAGGAAGCCTTCAGGAGAACAAGGCGACCCCTGCCGAACGCCAAAGTTCATTTCACTGCGGAACTTGCGCATCCGGGCTAGAGGTCACGCCATGGGCCTCTGCGAAGGCGCCGGCGTACTACGGGTTAGGAACATCCCCTTTCTGTCCCCGGGAACGAAGGCTGTAGCAGAGAAGGCCTTCAAGTTTCGAGGCCCAGTTGCAGCCGCAGCTGAGCACTGGTAACCTTGAGTTAGGTCGAGTGTTGGGATTGGAAGGCGCTTCAGGCATCAGCTGCCGCTCTGGGCAAGCAACCATCTCAACGTTATCCCACAGGGACGTGCCGTAATCCCATGGTCCAGTGCCCTTTCGTCGGTTGGTTTTGTCCATTTGTAAAACAGGAACAGTAGGTTGTGGTAGGAAAGTGGTTGTGAAAACTTAACAGAAAGCTAATTAAGCGCCTTGGTCGGGCGCGGTGGCATGTCACGCCTGTAATCCCTTCACTTCGAGGGGCCGAGGCGGGCGGATCGCTTGAGCCTGGGAATTCGAGATCAACCTGGGCAACGTGAAACCCCATCTCTGCAAATAAAGGACAAAAAATTAGGCGTAGTGGCGCGCTCCTGTGGTCCCAGCTACTCGAGGCTGAGGTGTATCACCATGAGCGTGCCATTGCACCCCATCCTGGGTGACAGAACAAGACCCTGTCTCGAACCAAAAGAAGTCGGGTTGGGGTGATAGCGCCTAGGAGAGCAACCACCCTTATTTGCCTAATACCGAGCTTCGCACCCAGGGGGCACTCGACATCTGCTGTAATTCGGACGCCAAGGAAAGGTAGGGTTAGGAGGGGGCTGCTTTTCAACCACAAAGCTTGTGGAAAAGTTTGTTAGCCCAGTCAATCTCAAGGCAACACCTGACAGGTGCTTTCCACCCCTGACCACAGTGGCCAATGGGACAGAGCCTGAAATAAATATTTCTAGTTTCTGAGGTCAGCTGAAGACCAAAGAGCAGCTGTCCCTGCAGCTCAAACCATCCAGTGGAGGAGCAAGGTGCTACTTTTTAAAGCCTTCTGCTACCTACAACCTCCTTAGCCTTTAAGACGTGTGCTTGTCTGCATGTTTAGGAGACAATATTAAGAATTAGGAATGTATGAGCCACAGTGCTTAAAAAAAGAATTAGGAATGAAGGAAATACAGGCTAAATACTAGCCAAGAGTGCCAGTTACGCTGAGGGTGGGGCTCTCACAGGAAGAAAAGTAGCCTCATACTATGGTGATATTCTGGCCATCACAAAGGAAAAATAGGGGTGGGCTGGTGGGTCCCTCATACCTGGGCTTCCTCTGTTAAGGCTATCACTTCAAATTAACCAAAACTCAGATTTACAAGAGACGACCTATCAAGGATAGGACACCATTCAACATCAGAATCTTCAAGATTGTTCTCATACAAGATTTATTCCCCAACACACCCCTCCCCTCCTCAGTTCACAGTGGAGGACTATGGAGATTCAGAGCAGGATCACCCGGGTACAGGAAACACCTTCTGAAGATTTTGCTCTCCTCCCTTCCCTCCCTCTTTCCAGCTCCCAGGGCCTGAAGCACACACTCATGCAAACTCGCAAAATCCCCCTCCTTCCCCACACCTCTGTCTTTCCACATCAGAGCTCACCTGTAAGACATCTGAACTTGAGAAGAGAGGCCTCCAAAGTCTGTTTGAGAACCCTGAAGTGGGGAGATGCCATAACCCATGACCAACCCACTGTGACTGACTATGAGACACCTAACTCTTTCCCCCTTCTCACTGTTAACCATTTTCACTCCCTGGCCTCTGTACCTTCTCCATCAACCAAGAGCAAACATGTCAGCACACCCCCACCTGCAGTACATGAAAACAGGCTCTGTCCAACATCCCTCACCCAAGTACAGGGGTGTTGGGGGAGTGGCCCCTGAGGATCAGCAAAGGGTTAATGCAGAAGGAAAGAGGACAGAAGAGTTTGGCTTGAGCTCTGATTGGGGAGGCAGAGGCTATAGACTGGCACAGGTTTAGAACCAATTACCATGTTTAGGTTTTTGTCTCACATGATTTTACTAGGGGCTGCAGAACAGATACCCCTCAGAGGGGTCTCTACTGATTACAGCCACATTCTTACTATCGGCTCATCCTTAAAGGAGTCCCCACCAAGTGGGAAAGTAGTTGAAAATAAAAGCTGTAAAGGAGCTGAACAGAGAGTAAGAACAGATGGTGCAAGACCAGCTTGTGGCTCCTGGGATGAATGCCATGGAGCCATTTGTAAAGTGCTACCTTATCATCCCCCATGAATTATTGCTTCTCCAAAGGAGGAGCAGGGGAAGGAACAGGAACATAAAAATGAGTATGGTATTGCTTTGCTCACTGCTTAGGCTGATGGCCAAATGGACCCAGGGGTTGGCAGAAACCACACAGCTCCAGAAGACTGAGACCTCAAAATACAGAGGTGCTTACTAATCTTCCCAGCCAGCTGATCCCCCAGGAGCCAAGGTAATGTAGAAGAGGCCCATCCCCTCATCATACTCACATTTCTTAAATTTCACAAGCAATATTTTGGAGCACTGGGGTTCAGGCCTCAAGAAATGAGGATGGGCTAGAGGAGAGGGAGCAGGCCTGTTCTACAAAACTAAAGGATAAATTTGCTTAAAAAAGAAAAAAAAAGCCTGGGCACAGTGGCTCACGCCTGTAATCCCTGCACTTTGGGAGGCTGAGGCGGGCGGATCACGAATTCAGGAGATCGAGACCACCCTGGCCATGGTGAAACCCATCTCTACTAAAATACAAAAAGTTAGCCAGGTGTGCACGCCTGTAGTCCCAGGAGGCTGACACAGAGGAACTGCTTGAACCCGGGAGACGGAGGTTGCAGTGAGCCGAGATCGTGCCACTGTACTCCTGCCTGGCAACAGAGCAAGACTCCATCTCAAAAAAAAACAAAAAACAAAAAATCACACTGGGCACAGTGGCTCATGCCTGTAATCCCAACACTTGGGAGGCTGAGGCGGGTGGATCATTTGAGGTCAGGAGTTCGAGACCAGCCTGGCCAACATGGTGAAATCCCGTCTCTACTAAAAATACAAAAAAATTAGCCGCATATGGTGGCACATGCCTGTAATCTCAGCTACTCAGGAGGCTGAGGCAGGAGAATTGCTTGAGCCAGGAGGCGGAGGTTGCAGTGAGCTGAGACTGCCCCACTATACTCCAGCCTGGGCAACAGAGCGAGACTCTGTCTCAAAAAGAAAAAATCAAATCCTTGTTTAACAAAAGAATGACTAATCTCGGCACTGTGGGAGGCCAAGGCAGGCGGATCACCTGAGGTCAGGAGTTTGAGATGAGCTTGGCCAACACAGTGAAACCCCATTTCTACTAAAAATACCAAAAAAATAATTAGCTGGGCATAGTTGCGGGCACCTATAATCCTACTACTCAGTATGCTGAGGCAGGAGAGCCTCTCGAACCTGGGAGGCAGAGGTTGCAGTGAACCAAGATGACGCCACTGCACTCTAGCCTGGGTGACAGAGTGAAACTGTCTCAAAAAAAAAAAAAAAAAAAAAAGTAAGATGATGACAATGTAACTACTCCAGCTGCTACCTGACTTTGGGGGCTCTAGGGAGGCGATGAAGGGAGGAAGGCAGGCATGGGCTCTTCAGTGAGGGCCCCTGAGCACTCATACCTAAAAGCAAAGAGCAGCACCTCCTCAAAGGGGAACCAATATCCCTGACTACTTTGTTCCCCAAAGTACCATCCTGATGGAGAGAAGCCTCCCTTGGGGGAGCACACCCTCACTCAGTGACTGCTCAGAAATGGGCATTGAGCTGGTGGGAGGGGAGTGAGTGTCCTCTCTAAGCAGGCTTCTGAGCATCAGCCAGGCCACCCAGCATACAAATATAATTCAGGGGAGGGGAGGTTGATTTCTTCCCTTGCCCCATCACCTTAAGTGAGATGGGGAAAAAAAAAACTTAAACCACAGTGACTCCCAAAGGGAGTCTCTGCCTCAGTGGCTCCTTGAACTGGCAGGGTCCAGCTGGTTCAGCTCTGACTGGTCCAGAAGTTCAAAGTCATCCCCCTCTGCATCAGTGTCCAGGTCTGAACTGGGGGACCGGAGGAAGCCTCTCGTTGCTCTCTGGGCAGGTGCGCCAGAAGGGCCTGGTTGGGAGGCCCCCGACAAGGCCAGCTGAATCATACCCTGGGAGACCAGGTTGGCAAGGTTGCTGGTGAGGTTGGATCCTACAGGCAGAGCACCAAGCAGGAGCTCCGGCAGTGCAGCTTCATCCTGGCTGGCAGGTGGGGCCTGGGGCTCCTCAGCCCCTGGCAGGGAACGGTACATCATGCTGGGCATGCCAATGCTAGTGTCATCCTCGTCATCCAGGCCAGCAGGATCCACATTAATGGAAGGGAAGTCTGGAAGATCTCTGGCAAAGGATTCCTCTGGATCACTGTGACCATCTAGTTCTGGTAGAATACAGAGGTGTCTGAGTCATGGCACCTACCTGGCCCTCCTGTGCCCCAGCCCCATATGACCAGATTTTTCCCACCCTGGCTTTCTCAGGGTGAAATAAACCCATGAGACTAGTTTCACTTTCCCCTCCACTTATAGATGGCTGTGATCTCTACTGGCCACACAATTCCCCCTCTCTTCCTATATGTCCCCTGTGAGGCTAGAGCCTGAGGCCACTAAGGAACTAAAGCTTCAAGAAGGGCAGCAGTGCCATCCTGGCTGTCGCCACAGCCCTCAGGCTACTCTGCCACCTGATCCACAGCACAGAAAACAGGAGAGGAGGGGGCAACAGTATCCCCTCTGTTCGGGGAAGCTAAGAGGCAACAGTCAGAGCCATTATCAACTGAGGTCAAAGCTCCCCTCACCTTCAGAGCCTTCTGTTAGAGGTGTTTGGCCCCTTGAAAGATTGAATGTGCCATTGTCTGTACAGGAGACTTCAGCGTCTGAGTGCTCAGAGTCTGTGATGGCCAATTCCCTGGCAACAGTAGAATCATCCAGCTTAGGAAAAGAAAAGACCAACAAACCTGAGATAATGCCATCAGGAACCAGGTGTAGTCCCCAGGTACAGCTTTACTAATCAGCTAGCATTAAAGGTTATCCAAAGGCCATCAAGGTAACCGGGGATAGATGGCAACTTCAGTCAAAATCTTCACCCCTTTTAGGCTGCTCTCCCAAATAAAACATTCATTCATAACTTCTCTTTTTTTTTTTTTTTTTTTTTGGGAGACGGAGTTTTGCTCTTGTTACCCAGGCTGGAGTGCAATGGCGCGATCTCGGCTCACCGCAACCTCTGCCTCCTGGGTTCAAGCAATTCTCCTGCCTCAGCCTCCTGAGTAGCTGGGACTATAGGCATGCGCCACCATGCCCAGCTAATTTTTTGTATTTTTAGTAGAGACGGGGTTTCACCATGTTGACCAGGATGGTCTCGATCTCTTGACCTCGTGATCCACCCGCCTCGGCCTCCTAAAGTGCTGGGATTACAGGCTTGAGCCACCGCGCCCGGCCCCATTCATAACTTCTTAAGCACAGGGAAAAAAAAACAGTCTTGGGGAAGTCTATTACCCACTTACTTTTAGGCAAATAATTGATCCAGAGATAACTTTTCGAAGTGGATAGGAGGATACACACACTGCACAGACCTAAGGGTGAACTGGGCTGTTTAAAAGATGATCATACCAGCTCCAGAAGTTCCTCCATAATGGTAGGGTAAAAAGAGACACGGATGAGTGTTTGCTGGGCATCAGGCTCTAATTGAGATCTAGGTTGACTAGAGGAATGATATGATTAAAAAAAAAAATTGAGATCTAGGAACAAAGTCTACATCTCTCCTTGTTACTGGTTTTGGAAACAAGGGGAGTCTAAGGTTTCAAACCTGGTTATGGCCTAAATGTGAGCTATCAGATGGTTAAAAGTGAGCTAAAGAAAACTGGACAGTGAAGCGGCTCCCACACTCAAGATACCTGAGGACAGAAGGCAGCAAGCTCCTCTTCGCTGTCACTGTGGTTGTCCATGGCTCGTTCTGGGTGTAGAGCTCTGCGGCGTACTGTGTGGGAAGAGCACAAAGCCTTGTTACCTTCCCACCAGCGTAAAAAACACATTAGACTTTAAAGGCATAAAATCAGAACAAAAAACAAAGAGCCTCTCTGAATCTGGTTCTAAGCCTACATAATATAGGCTGAGCTGCTAAGCCTAAATGGCAAGGTGAGTTGATAACACAGGAGAAAATATCTCAGCTTCCAACATCCTTTTCTCCACCATACCCAACATATTTTTTTTTTTTTTGAGATGGAGTTTTGCCCTTGTTACTCAGGCTGGAGTGTAATGGTACGATCTCGGCTCACTGCAACCTTCACCTCCTGGGTTCAAGTGATTCTTCTGTCTCAGCTTCCCAAGTAGCTGAGATTACAGGCACATGCCACTGTGCCCAGCTGATTTTTGTATTTTTTGTAGAGATGGGGTTTCATCTATTGGTTGGGCTGGTCTTGAACTCTTAACCTCAGGTGATCCGCCCGCGTCAGCCTCCCAAAGTGCTGGGATTATAGGCATGAGCCACCACACCCAGCCTGGCCCTACACATTTCTATTTTAGTCCGATGACAAATACCAGACTTTGTCAACAACTCTCAGGATGGCTAAAGGCAGACCTGATGTCAAGGTGTTAAGTGGACACAATCAGAGAGGACAAAAGGAGATGCACACCTTGATAACATCAGACTTTTGAGGACTGATATTATTCAACTGGCTGCCCCAGGGGACTTGGGCCTTGCTGACCAAGTGCAGGGCTCTTTGAAAGCCAGGCCTCCATAAAACACAAAACCTGAGTAGACCACACAAGAGAGGCAAAAGTCTGTACTACCATCATTAATGTGTTGGATGGAGCTCAGGCTAGTACACTTACAACCTCTGAGGTAGCAGCTTCAAATCACCTTTGGGAGGCAGTTTTCAGTAGTGAAAAGTCCCAGGCTTAGAAGTTGAAAGGATCTGCTATGGGCTGAGCACAGTGGCTCATATCTGTAATCCCAACACTTTGGGACGCCAAGGCAGGAGGATTACTTGAGCCCAGGAGTTCAAGATCAGCCCGGGCCACACAGTGAGACCCCATCTCTACAAAAAATTTAAAAATCAACCAGATGTGGTGACATGTGCCTATAGTCCCAGCTACTGAAGGGTTTGGCAGGGCTGAAGTAGAAAGATCACTTGAGCCTGGGAGGTCGAGGCTGCAGTGAGCCATGATCGTGCCACTGCACTCCAGCCTGGGCAACAGAATGAGACTCTGTCTTTAAAAAAAAAAAAAAAAAAAAAAAAAAAACTATATTAAAAAAAAAAAAAAAAAAAAAAAAAGGTACAAATACTAGGAATTTTATCTTCACTGTTTAGCTTTTATTCAACTTGAAAGAGTTTTTATCAGATTTGTTTAAAACAGGAGAGTCTAGGATTCTAAATGATAAAAACTGGCAAGCCTGCACAGGTTTCCCTAGAACAAAATATCACTTTTACCTACCAAACAATCCTCACCCCCACCAACTACCCCCCACTTCCACTTCTGAGGACCCACCCAGTATGTCAGATCTATGGGCTTCTCATTGTCCCCAAATTGCCTAAGTGGAAGGAATGACACCATGACACTTACATTGTCTCTCTCTCTGCTTAGACATCATGTAGCCACGGACGCTGAAGTCCAGCCGCTGCAGAGCTGGCTTCAGCCGCACATATGCTCGATCCCACAGTCGGTGGTACACGGTAAGGGGCCACATCATGACAGTGACAACTGTGAGGAGGAATGGGAAACAGTGACGAAATGGAGATGGGGCTCCAAAAACCATTCCCAACTGTCCTGATGCTATTGGTACTTAGGGCTTGGACAAAAAGTGTAGAACAGATCTGCCCACGTCTGCCGGTCATCTTAACCAGTCTCCCCTACACGAGAGAGTTTTTGAGGGCAGGGACTTCTGTAGCCACCTACAGAGCCTACTGCAGGGCTGTGCACAGCACAGTATGCTGCTGACAGGCCAAGGCAGAATCTGGCAATAGGTGTCACTGAGACATAAACGGTAACCATTCCTAAAAACTACACAACACATCACGGGAAATTTTGACATACAAAGGCCACAGCTGTCAAGTACTCAGTTCTTACCACCCCAAGCAAGCTGAGTACATGCCAACAAGAAGTAACTATTTACAAAACTATGCTCCAAGTAGGAAAAAAGTACTCTGGCATAAATAGAACCTAGTAGAGAACCCTAAGAGTTATGTTCTGCTGACAGGACTCTGACTCTAAAAATTCTCTCCTTCAACAGGGACAGGCAGTCCTTTATAGTTGGTAATAATACAATATATGTTAGTGGACACTCATCAATTTCTGAGTTGGTAAGAAATGAACTTTGTATGTGGAGAGACTGCTAAAGGTAAGAAGGATATTTTCTGACACTAAACAGGTCATGAAAATATGAAAAGGTCATATTCTGGAGAAATGAAATATAAAAGTCCTCTTCCCAGACCTACAGTTAGCCATAGTTGGAAAGCTATGAGCAGGGTACAGTTCGTAGGGGGAGGTATATACCATACTTACGCATCAAGTAGGACAGCAGAAGCCCAGGGATGTAGCGGCCCAAGACAGCCAGAAAGGTCAGTATCCCACAGCTCAGCAAGCAGAACTGGGGAATCAAGAAAGAGTATTAAGTTTCTGCCACATGGCAGGGGACTGGGGTGGGTGTGGAGGGTTAGAGTAGAGATATGATCAAAAGACTCTTTGTATGTCAAGCATGGACGTATAGCCACTGTTGCATCCAATGGTGATTCTGTTTGGGAAGAAAAGGAGCATGTCCCCTTCTATTCAAACTCCTTTTATATGGCTAGCCCCGTAGGGCTGCACCTTGCATGCTAAGAAATTGGTTTGAATAGGACTTAGCCAAAAATTCTCTCTGAAAGCAAGTGCTGGTGGTGGGTTTTTTAACTCAACAGAAACACACACACAAAACCCAAAAACACAACCACCTACCACATATTTAATATGACACAGAATGCACACAAGAAAGCTTTCTCTCCCATCTTGGGGTAAGAAAATGGCCTCATCTAAGTGGCAAGCACATCAAATGAGCAGTTGCCAAGCTCTTGTCTTAGTCCTAATGGCTGGTCAGAAGGCCCTTCCTACAACTTCCTTCTGTCTCTGTAAACATCATAGTCTTTACTTTCCTGAATGAAAAGAAGTAGTAAAGGAGCTGTTTCAGTTTAGCATGAACTGAACTGAGAGGCCAGAGATGAAAGTGAAAAAGGGAAGAGTCTTACCTTGCCTGGATTTTGCTTTTTGAAAAGCAAAACATTCCTTATGAAAATGGTCCCACTAACCCAGACTTCAGCTACATGGTGGCAGAGCTCGGGCACGCTGAGCAACCGAGGGTGCACAAAGCCCCAGCTATGGGAGAGAGAAGGGGGAGCTGTGAAAGGAGGGTGTTGAGGGTCCCCCCATCTTGCTGTGCAGGTAGCCAGTGCTTCTGGGTTTAAATGGGGTTTAGGGAGTGACTAGACCCAAGTGCTATGGAGGTGAAGCATGACTTTCTTCTTGGCTCACCAGGTTGAAACCTGAATTTAGGTTTGAGGAGGACAAACTTGTTCTGACAACTCCACCCTATGAGCAAGCAGCCCAATCCACGTGTGTAAACCTGCCCCAGCTCCAAGGCCCTTTGCGCTTAGAAACATTTTCTTCTTGCACTCAGACCACTGCAATTCCCTGTGATTGCAATCCAGGGGTAAAAGTAAGCACAGTCTGACTGACACCACTGCTGCTAAGGGGGAGGAAATGTGGATGTACCCCTTAGAGAGAAAATAAATAAAGCAAAACAAAAATAAACCATAGCAGAGAAAATTCCTTGGATCAAACATATGGAGTGGATGAACGGAGGAATGAAAGCAGGAGCTATAAGACACAAGAGGAATCTTTGGCTTGCTGATGCCAGGAACCAATGTGTTTTCTGACCAGGAACTTTAAATAGCAAGAGGTCACAGAAAACACTAAATGACCTGGTATAAAAGCCAGGAGACAAATGAAGTTCGCTGCCTTTAAGTTTTCTCACTGGGACTGAATGAGGCAGCTGATTCCCTGGCATGTCAGGTTATGGGGCACTGAAATGCTTCTTTTTCAGAAACTTCTCTTGTAAAGATCAGAGACACAGGCCATTTCAATATATTTCTGCCTGAACTTCAGGATGTGTTAAAATGATCATTTGGAACAGACTAGGTTCTTAGCTTACGCTGTGTGTCCAGAATATGGGGTTAACAACATGTAACCAGAATATTACAAGAGAATGAATCAGAGCAACAAAAAGGGATTTAATTAGTGTTCCATACCTCTCATTGTCTAATGCGTCGGGTCTTGGCACTACAATATTAAAACAAACACCAGCATTAGTTGGTAGGGAAAACTACACATGAAAATGTTAGGCTGTTGGTCTGACAGCTCAAGTTTTAATAGGCTGGGGAAAAGAAAACAGTAATAGCCAATAAAAAAGGAGACACCGTGTTATACTGCCAGAGTTAGGGAGCTGCAGACAAGGGAATAATCACGCCTACTCATTTTTTGAGAGGAAGGAAGGAAGGTCCAAATGGATTATTTGAGACCCTTTTTAATGACCTCAGCCGAAAGCCAAGGTGTATAAGAAAAATGGTCCATCCCACCCCTTAAGTGTGTCTGGGATGCCCATATACATCAATCTGTGCCAGGCTATCTATACAAGGTACAGATATTGATCGACTTACGACCTATGCAACTTACGACCATTCGACTTTACGACCACAATCGCTAGCCACGACTGCTCCGCATCTGGCAGCACAAACGTTGCCCAGCTGGGCATCCGACAGTGCGGACCAGCATCCGGCAGCACTACCATCACCGTGTGCATATAGCCTACTCAACTTACGACCAAATCATGTTACGACCGGTCTGTCAAAACCAATCGTGGTCATAAGTCGAGCACTAGCTATACATTGTAACAACTCCAACCCTAGAATCTGCTTTTTTTTTTTGAGACAGTGTGTTGCTCTGTAGCCCAGGCTGGAGTGCAGTGGCATGATCTTGGTTCACTGCAACTTCCACCTCCCAAGTTCAAGGGATTCTCCTGCCTCAGCCTCCTGAGTAGCTAGGACTACAGGCATGCACCACCACACCTGGCTAATTTCTGTATTTTTAGTAGAGATGGGGTTTCACCATGTTGGCCAGGCTGGTCTCGAACTCCTCCATCTCCCATAGTGATGGGATTATAGGTGTGAGCCACTGCACCCAGCCAAAATCTGCCTATTCTCTTTATTCTGTCTATCTATCTATCTATCTGTCTATTTATTTTCCTTTCTATGTATTTGAGGTGGAATATCTACCTACCTACCTACCTACCTATTTGAAACACAGTATCTATCTATCTATCTATCTATCTATCTATCTATCTATCTATCTATCTATCTGAGACAGAGTCTTGCTCTGCCACCCAGGCTGGAGTGCAGTGGCATGATCTTGGCTCACATGCAACTTCCACCTCCAGGGTTCAAGCGATTCTCCTGCCTCAGCCTCCTGAGTAGCTGGGATTACAGGCACCCACCACCATGCCGGCTAATTTTTCTGTTTTTAGGGGAGACAGGTTTTCACCATGTTGGCCAGGCTGGTTTCGAACTCCTGACCTCAGGTGATCCACCCATCTTGGCCTCCCAAAGTGCTGGGATTACAGGTGTGAGCCATCACACCCCACCTGCTTGTTCTCTTTAAAAAGAGACCCAGAGCTGGGTGTAGTGATGCTCACTTATAGTTCTACCTCCTTGAGGGACTGAGGCAGGAGGATCACTTAAGCCCAGGAGTTCAAGTCCAGCCTGGGAAACATATTGAGACCCTGTCTGTAACCAAAAAAAAAAAAAAAAAAGATAGGGAAACCCATGATCTACCTGAATGAATAAGTCTTTTGATATTCACCAACCATAACATAGGCAGATGAACTACATGATTCCTTGAAGTCTCCATAAAATATGATTGGCATGTATTTAAAACGTGTATAGTCTGAATATCTTGCCAACACTTCAAAATTAACATGTCTAAAACCTACATCAGTTTTCCTCACTCTCATCCCTTCAAATCAGCTCTCCTATCTGCCTTTGCCTATTATCTGCTAACTGTAATGCCATTTGCCACTCTCTTAGCTTTTAACCCCCATCCATTTTGGCTTTTTTTCTACATATATAATAATAATTATTTTTTGAGACAGGGTCTCGCCCTGTTGTCTAGGCTGGAGTATAGTGGTGCGATCATGGCTCACTGCAGCCTAAACCTCCAGGGCTCAAGGGATCTTCCCACCTCAGCCTCCCAAGTAGCTGAGGTTCACAGGCACACACCACCAAGTGTGGCTAATTTTTTTATTTTTTTTGGTAGAGACAGGGTTTTGCCATGTTGCCCAGGCTGGTCTCAACTCCTGGGCTCAAGCAATCCTCCTGCCTGGGCCTCCCAAAGTGCTCAGATCACAGACATGATCCACCGCACCTGGCCCCAACTGTTTATGTCTTGCTGTATCTTGCTTCTTCACAGCTCTCCAAGCCATCCATCATTTGTACTCACCGAGGCCTCTCTACTTCTCACAAAGACACTGGCACAGTCTTCTAACAGGTCTTCCTCTTCCACTTTTTCTCCTTCCATCTAGTCCCAAAAATGCTACTAAATTAATTGTTACTATGGGCCGGGCACAGTGGCTAATGCCTATAATCCCAGCACTTTGGGAGGCCAAGGCAGGCAGGTCACTTGAGGTCAGGGCTTCAAGGCCAGCCTAGCCAACATGGCGAAACCCTATTTCTACTAAAAATATCAAAAAAATTAGCCGGGTGTAGTGGTGCACGTCTGTAGTCCTAGCTACTCAGGAGACTAAGGTGGGAGAATCATTTCAACCTGGGAGGCGGAGGTTGCAGCAAGCCAAGATCATGCCATTGCACTCCATCCTGGGCAATAGAGCGAAACTCTGCCTCAAAACAAACAAACAAAAAATTTTTTTTCATTTGTTGGGTGTGGGGGTGTGCACCTATAGTCCCAGCTAACTGGGAGACCGAGGTGGGAGGATCACCTGAGCCCAGGGGTTTGAGGTTGCAGTGAGGTATGATCACGCCACTGCACTCCAAAGCCTGGACAACACAGTGAGACCTAGTCTGTTAAAAAATAAAAATAAAAAAATCAGCCAGGTGCGATGGCTCACACCTGCAATCCAGCACTTTGTGAGGCTGAGGTAAATGGATCACTTGAGTCCTACCTGGACAACACAGCAAAACCCCATCTATACAAAAAATACAAAAATTAGCCAGGTATGGTGGCAACTGCCTATAGTCCCAGCTACTCAGATGGCTAAGGTGGGAGAATTGCTTGAGCCTGGTAGATTGAGGCTGCAGTGAGCTATGATTGTATCATTGCACTCCAGCCTGGGTGACAGAGCATGACTCTGTCTCAAAAAAAAAAAAGAAAGCAGTGGCCGGGCGTGGTGGCTCACGCCTGTAATCCAAGCACTTTGGAGGTCAAGGCGGGCGGATCACCTGAGGTCGGGAGTTTAAGACCAGCCTGACCAAAATGGTGAAACCCCGTCTTTAAAAAAAAAAGCAAAGAAAAGAAAGAAACAAAGAAACAAAAAACCCAATCCCAACATACTTTCAGTTTTATTTCCTAGCCCTCCCTTTAATGAACCTTCATCCAGGCCAAATGATCAATTCTCTGATGTCAGGAAATGCTTTACAACTTCTGGTTCCTCAGACTAATTAAACCACTGGCCTCTCTAGAAATAGACTTTTTTTTCTCAACCTGTTCAAATCTTTTGCTTTGTTCCACTCTCAAGGTAGTGACAAAGTATACGACAAACATACTAATCATATACTGCATTGTGACATCTGTGGTACTGGTCTATAACTGTCACTTAATTTTTCATTTGTTTATGTATTAGCTTTTTAAAAAGACATCACATGTCATGATACTTTGTATAAGTCACAATTGCCTAGCCTCGTGTTTTGCAAATGAGCAATTTAAAATAAATTCCTGAGAAGTAAATTGGTACTGGCTCAATAAAGATGCAGTGTCCAGTAATGATAATTACTATTTTTAATTTGAGAACTACTTATTCCTCAGGCTGTTTTGGGAAAAATATCTCAGGTGGTGGATACAGACTTTCTGTGCTTAGTAACAATGGGAAAGGCAGAACCCAGCTTCATATACCTCCTCATAAACCCCTAATACTAAAGGTATAAATTATAGTCAAGGCCATCTCCAGTTCAGATTGTTGTAAATGTTACCAAACTCACCTTTTATTTCAGGCCAGATTTTGTTCTTCCACTGATCAATACACACAATGATCATCAAGCCAAATGCAAGTAAAAACACAAGACGAAGGGATGTCAGGGCAAAGAACCTACAGAGGAAGAAAAACAGAAGAAAGATCATTTATCTAGTTAAGCTGATTTCAGAAGAGACCAAACGTGTACTACGGGCTCTGTGGTAAACAGACCTGAGGTCTAGCTTTTTTTGTTCTGACACTTAACTAGTTATACACCTTGGGTAAATCATGTAAACCTTCTGGACCTTAACTACCCTACCTATGGGGGCAAAGAGAATAATTTGCTGCTGTAAAGGCAGAGGACTAAATTACATAATCTCTTAAAGCTCCTTCAGCTTTCCATTCTGTACCTCTTTTAATTTCAGGGAGAAATTAATCCTTGATAACAAGTTGTTATAATGAAAGCAAACATCTTTCTGTCAAATCAGACCCTAGTAGTGTAGGGCAACAAACTGATAGAGATGCAATCAACAGCATTTAATTCAATCACATATCTTTTTCACAGATAAAGGAACAGAGCCTGAAAAAGTATTTGATTAAGGTCACACGGAAAGTTGGCATGAAAGCTGTATCTAAAAGCAAGTCTGGCCAGGTGTGGTGGCTCAAGCCTGTAATCCCAGTACTTTGTGAGGCCCAGACAGATAGATCACTTGAGGTAAGGAGTTTGAGACCAGCCTGGCCAACACGGTGAAACTCAGTCTCTACTACATACAAAAATTAGCTGGGCATGGTGGTGCGCACCTGTAATCCCAACTACCTGGGAGGCTACGAATGAGAATTGCTTGAACTCAGGAGGCGGAGGTTGCAGTGACCCAAGATCATGCCACTGTACTCCAGTCTGGGCAATAGAGCGAGACTTTGTCTCAATAAATAAATAAATAAATATATAAAGCAAGTTCTCCAGAATTAACACGAGTGCTTCTCAAACTTCCAAAAAATGAAAAAAAGGAAACACTTGATTGATTTTGTGAGGACAGCATTATCCTGATACCAAAGCCAAGTAAATTATAAAACTATAGACCAATATTCCTTATGAATATAAATGTAAAAATTTTCAATAAAATACTACCAAGTTAAATTCCGCAGCATTATACACCAAGACCAAATGAGATTTATCCCAAGACTGCAAGGGCAGTTTAACATACAAAAAAATCAATAAATGTAAGGCATCACATCAATAAGGTAAAGGAAAAGCTAGTTCTGATTTGAAGGAATCAACCATAAAAAAATTTTGAACAATCTGGGAAATATGACATTGAGATCATATTTAATGATACTATGGAATTTTTTTATTTTAGGTGTGATATTAAGGTAGTTATGATTTTTTCTCAGATCCATTTTGGTTTAATATTAAATGAGGAAATGCAGAAACACAGATTAGTACAGATAGCATAAATGCTATACTCTGGGTCTTCATTTTTTCCTTTTTCCCCCTAATTAACATGCGACGTGAACATGAACTGTGGAGTCCTGACCAGGTGCAGTGGCTCATGCCTATAATCCCAGCACTCTGGGAGGCTGAGGTGGGCAGATTCCTTGAGCTCAGGAGTTCAAGACCAGCCTGGGTGACATGGCAAAACACCATCTCTACAAAAAAAATACAAAAAAGGAGCTGGGTATGGTGGTGCACTTGTGGTCCCAACTACTTGGGGGGCTAAGGCACGAGAATCACTAGCCTGGGAGGAGGACGTTGTAGTGAGCGGAGATCGCACCACTGCACACCAACCAGCCTGGGTAACAGACTGAGATTCCTGTCTCAAAAAAAAAAAAGAAAAAAAAAAAAAAAAACCTTGGAGCCCATATGAAAATCATGTATATAGTAGAACAGAATATAAATTGTTAGCATTTCATAGTATTCTAAAAAGGCTGGGTGCGGTGGCTGAACCCTGTAATTCCGGCACTTTGGGAGGCCAAGGTGGGCAGATCACCTGAGGTCAGGAGTTCAAGAACAGCCTGGGCCGGGCGCGGTGGCTCAAGCCTGTAATCCCAGCACTTTGGGAGGCCGAGGCGGGTGGATCACAAGGTCAAGAGATCGAGACCATCCTGGTCAACATGGTGAAACCCCGTCTCTACTAAAAATACAAAAAATTAGCTGGGCATGGTGGTGCGTGCCTGTAATCCCAGCTACTCAGGAGGCTGAGGCAGGAGAATTGCCTGAACCCAGGAGGCGGAGGTTGC